ATCGGTATAAACCGAGCTTTGGCTATTTTTCTCTTCTCTGCATCCATCTGCATCTCAGACGCGCTGATCTAGAATCTCCCCCTATATTACGTCATATAGGGAAAAGGTTACTCCCCTTTCTCTGCTTTGCCCGCCCAGAGAATTTGGCCCGACCATGAGAAAACGAGCTAGGAACAGGAAGTACGAACACGCGCAGGCGCGGTTTTATTTTTTCCTAGAGAAATAGCTTTGAGATTTGAGTTTTTCCTTGAGAAATATCATGGCTTGCAAACGAGCGAAGCATGGCAGTTGCTCAGTGTTCGGATGTACAAATGAACACAAAAGTATTTTTTAGTTCCTTCATCCAGAGAAACAATGGGTTAATTTTATTTTCTCTGGAAATGCGGCGACTCAACTCCCAAAGTTTTGCATGGTCCAAACAGGCAGGAGACAGGTAAGTTAATCTTTCTCTCAAAATCGTTCGATACTGTTACAAGCCAGTGACTAAAATATCAACTTCACATCGGTGAAAGCAGAGTGCAGAAACTGCAATAAGATCTTCATTCTCGTGATCGACAGCTCAATGCTCATCACAGCAAGATTTTATGTGATGAGAATCTAAATACTTCAAAAACTTCTCACGATTCAGTAATCTCGATATCTGTAATAGTAAAAACGTATAATAGCTGTAGTAAAAGGATTCGAGAGAGTTTCACATGTAATATGTAGCTATTTCATATTGCAAGCATGTCAGCCAATCACAGCAGTGGGCGGTTACATTGAATCCCACAGCAGACACGCCCCTTCAAACAGAGCGTTCAAAGCAGATGCTAAAATCAGGCTTGGAAAAATGCCTTTTATTTCTAAATTATGACTATTTTTGATCTAAAAACATACTAAACATTATAAGGGCAACCCAGGAAACATTATAAAATAAAATAAAAAAAAATCCATGTCAGGGGACCTTTAATCTTTCCTAATGGACTTGCTTATTTGGAAATGTGCCTTTTAGCAATTGGGATTTTTACAATTTTTTATAAAGCCTATTAACAATTTAAAGCATCATATTAACATTACTGCAAAAAGACATCTAATATAAGATCTATATTTATTCACCTAGTAGGCTATAATAATAAGTATATAATACGTTTTCTCCCTAGTGTCCCATAAAATCAGGTCTGCTTTGGCAAAAGCGTCGTAAATGACGCCTTGGGATGGAATTCGATTGAATAGCCAGGTGTTCACCCTCGGCGCGAATGTTTTGGAATGTTTAAGCTCTGAATGTCGCAAATTCGCGTCGCGGCTGATGTGAATGGTTTTGACGCAAACTATTCTCACGCAAACTATTCGCTTTTCCGTTATGCATCCGGTGTGAAAGGGCCTTTAGGCTTTGCATTTAATATATGACACATTGGAGCCGCAACATAATCTATGGCAATTTATCATATATATTATCTATCCCTGATTCATATAGACTTTATTAACTTATTAACCGTTTCTACTTCTAATTCACTGAACTCAAAATGACAATGTTTACGCCTCATATTTTTTTTACGTTAGAAATGGTCCAGTTGTTGTCTGTTCCATATGATAATCCTATCGATTTATATACCTTGCTAACAAAATAATTATTAAAATAATTAGTCATTTCTTTGGGTTTTGCAATAAAAATACCGCCACAGTCGATCAAAGTAGGTTGTGTAAATGTTTTCCCATTATACTATTTACTGTGTGCCAAAGCTCTTTCCCATAATTCATTTTCCTCTTTAACTGTAGCACATAATATTGCTTCTTTTTCTTTTGAAGCATCATGGGAAAACCTCCTTTATGACCTTTTATACACAATTCTTTGCTTGTTGCTCTATAATTGGTCTATCGTCTGTACGGTATTTAATGCATTACTTACATCAGAAATAACTGAACTTAAATTACCAAAAAAGTAAGATTAATTTACTTTTTCAAGGGAAAATGAATTAAACTACTGTAATTAATGACTTGGTGTGTTTTGTCTGCGTTGGATGTAATGCATTACTGTTTTATCAAATCAAACGTCATTAATAGCAGATCTCTACCGTGATTTATCATATCATATCAGCATACCCAGATCATCCTTTTTATGTGGACTCCAAAACTGTTAAAATATTAATATTAATAACGCATAATAATAATGTATTATTTTAGTGAACTGGAAAAGCCCCCACCTCCCTTCACATCACCACTGAATAATTTTTATGAGGCTTGGATAATATACAAATGTACTAATGTACGATTATAAGCAGGGTTTGAAATTAACTCACTCACCCACCAGCCAATTTGGCTACTACATTTTTAAGTGACTGGCCATTCAGAACGACTACTAACCAAAAAAAGAAAAGAAAAGAAAAGAACCAGAGCAACTACGTCACACACAACTACTTGTCACACACAACTGTGAGGATAATAAGTATTTAGTGAGGATAATATTAGTATTAGTATTAGTATTAATATTATATATATTAGTATTATAGGATAGTATTTGAAGACCCTGCTATTTTGCAAGTTCTCCCACTTAGAAACAATGGAGGGGTCTAAAATTGTCATTGTAGGTGCATGTCCACTGTGAGAGACATAATCAAAAAAAATAAAATAAAAATCCAGAAATCACAATGTATGATTTTTTAACTATTTATTTGTATGATACAGCTGCAAATAAGTATTTGAACACCTGAAAAAATCTATGTTAATATTTGGTACTCGGGCTCGACTCTGGCTCTGGACGGTTGGTTTGCCATCAACGGATACATCTAAACATGATCTAAACTATAGTGTGTGCCACAAACATTTTCTCGAGAGAGCTGCGAGAAGTGGAGAATGGTGGACTTCGCCTTGTTGACAACTAATCCAAGTGGCGTCTTGGCGTCTTTTCTTAGCCTTTGTTTGCAATTACAGAGGTCAAACGTTTCCTGTAGTTTTTCAGCAGGTTTGCACACACTGCAGGAGGGATTTGGCCCACTCCTCCACACAGATCTTCTCTAGACCAGGTTTCTGGGCTGTCGCTGAGAAACACAGAGTTTGAGCTTCCTCCAAAGATTCTCTATTGGGTTTAGGTCTGGAGACTGGCTAGGCCACGCCAGAACCTTGATATGCTTCTTACAGAGCCACTCCTTGGTTATCCTGGCTGTGTGCTTCGGGTCATTGTCATGTTGGAAGACACAGCCTTGACCCAACTCCAATGCTCTAACTGAGGGAAGGAGGTTGTTCCCCAAAATCTCGCAATACATTGCCCCGGTCATCCTCTCTTTAAAGGGTCATGAAACCCCAAACCAGATTTTAACAGAGGTATGTGTGTTGAACACCACTGAAGACAATGTTAGCATCTGTTAGATTTAATGATAGGGTTAAAATGGTAAAATTTAGGTTTTTTTCCGTTTTTTTCGTCTTCCGGGTTTAAAATCTTTTTAAAATTTAACCATATTAAATGTATTGTATTATTAAAGATTGTATAGGGTTCATGTATATGTATATGATATGATTCTATAGGATTGTTAGGGTTCATGACCCTTTAACACAGTGCAGTCGCCCTGTCCCATGTGCAGAAAAACACCCCCAAAACATGATGCTGCGACCCCCATGCTTCACAGTAGGGATGGTGTTCTTGGGATGGTACTCATCATTCTTCTTCCTCCAAACACGGTTAGCAGAAGAATTATGACCAAAAAGTTCTATGACCACATGACTTTCTCCCATGACTCCTCTGGATCATCCAAATGGTCACTGGCAAACTTAAGACGGGCCTTGACATGTGCTGGTTTAAGCAGGGGAACCTTCCGTGCCATGCATGATTTCAAACCATGAAGTCTTAGTGTACTACCGACAGTAACCTTGGAAACGGGGGTCCCAGCTCTTCTCAGGTCATTGACCGGCTCCTCCCGTGTAGTTTGGGGCTGATTTCTCTCCTTTCTTAGGATCATTGAGACCCCACGAGGTGAGATCTTGCATGGAGCCCCAGTCCGAGGGAGATTGACAGTCATGTTTAGCTTCTTCCATTTTCTAATGATTGCTCCAACAGTGGACCTTTTTCCCACAAGCTGCTTGGCAATTTCCCCGTAGCCCTTTCCAGCCTTGTGGAGGTGTACAATTGCGTCCCTAGTGTCTTTGGACAGCTCTTTGGGCTTGGCCATGTTAGTAGTTGGATTCTTACTGATTGTATGGGGTGGACAGGTGTCTTTATGCAGCTAACCACCTCAAACAGGTGCATCTAATTTAGGATAATAAATGGGCACACTAAGGCACACTTAAGGGTCAGAATTCTAGCTGATAGACGGGTGTTCAAATACTTATTTGCAGCTGTATCATACAAATAAATAGTTTAAAAAAATCATATATTGAGTGATTTCTGGATTTTTCTTTTAGATTATGTCTCTCACAGTGGACATGCATGACAATTACGATGACAATTTTAGACCCCTCCATGATTTCTAAGTGGGAGAACTTGCAAATTAGCAGGGTGTTCAAATACTTGTATGTATGTATATATATTAAAATTTGGATTTCATACATTAATTTCTTATGCAAACTAAATCCTGTCATCCAGCTTCTCCTCTCTTCCTCTTTCATCCTCATCACCATTATTGTGTTTTAGGTGGACAGATCAATACTGTACCAAAGAACATCAAAAACATGTAGGATGTCTTTTCTGTTAACCAAATGTTTTTTAATCTCCACCATTGCTACAATGCAAATGAATGAAGTGTGCCGTTACTTGTAGCGTTCGAGATATGAGCAGATTCTGTGCAAATACAATGTATTTAATATGACTCAAATCTACGCAGATTTGTCTTCCATAAGCTTCCCCAGCGAAGTGAGTACATATCAGCGAAGTAACACACCAAACAGGCTCGTGATTTGACAGCGTTTCCCGCCACTGATTATTTTTACTTGCATTAGGCGGGTGTTAATTTCAAACCCTGATTATAAGAAAACAATTTATGAAATGTGAAACCCTGCGACTCCATAAAATCCTGACGTATCCCCACACAAACCTGTCCAGAGTGGCGCTGGGAGCAGACCGGCAGCTTGTCGTAGGACAGGTGGTTCAGCCAGAGGTTCCCCTCGAAGCCGGCGTCTCCGGACACGTCCTTCCAGCCAGTGACGACCCCCATGTAGTCTCCGGCTGTGAGCACGCTGTCGGCAAAGTCCCGCTCCGGAAGGCACGCTGGGAGAACCAGCTTCTTGAAGACGATCCTCCCCCTCAGCTCCACCACGGCCAGGTCGTTGTCTGGCCGGCCCTCGGCGTACAGCGGGTGGATGTGCACCTGCTTCACGTGGAGCGTCTGCTCTCCCGCTTCAAACGAGCTCAGGCGCTTTCCTGCAGAGTTGAAGGGGCAGTCTGTAAGAACACGTCATCACGAAGGACATCGAAATAGGTATCTCCAATGGGCTCTATGCACGGCGTTATTTCCGGTGAAGGATTAAGGATGCTCGATAACTTCCGCCGATCATAGAGTCCAATGCAATACCGAGAATTTATATTGAATTTTATACTCCATGGTCATACTAAAGAAACGTTAGTCACAAAAACAGATAAAACAGACACCCCTCGTTGTGTTTATGCTTCTTTTAAAAATTATATTAAATAAACATAACTATATATAAAATTACATCTAAACGTATGTACGTTTCGTTTCAAAGACGGGAGGACAGTAAATATTGAAGACTCTGCCATAATCCCGTTTTCTCCGGTTTTCCTCCGCTTTAATCTACACAACCGGAAATGGACGAGCATCCTTACGTCAAATGCGGAACTTATGCGTGCATATAGCCCATTCAAAACATCGGAGATCGTGGTTTTTCCCGCCTTCTCGGACTCAACGTTCAAACGTCAAATAAACGAATTTCCTCTAGTGGAAGCGTTCGGCACTGCATCTCACTGAAACCTCAAATTTGGAACTTGTTTTGATTTATGGCTTTGATTTTCTTGCAGTTTTAGAGTAAAACATGCGATCTTTCTGTCTGGGTCATCTCAGTGAGGGTTTACGCATGCGCTGTATGGAGAATTTAGCGTTTCAGGCGTTTTCCAAAAGCTTTTCATCCACACCAAACGTCAGTAAACGCCAGTGTGGACGGAGAGCGTTTATAAACGGAAACGCCGTTTTAAATGTAATAGATATACCCTTCGTGTGTGTGAATGTGAACTCACCCACGGCCACCTGGAACTCGCTGTACTTTGTCGCACACTGGGCTGAGGTGAGGACCAGATTCTCCCTGAACACGACCCCGCTGCAGAAACCGCTCGACCCCTGACGCAGCATCGCCTTCACACACACACACACACACAACATCTCATGAGTGACAGCCGCATGTAAACGTGCAGTGAAGTATTGTTTTGTGTGTGTGCAGAAAATGGGTGATACTAAAGTTGCCAAGTGAGTACGTAAAACTAAGTCTTTTACATTGAAGGTAAAGCGGAGGTTTAAAATACACCAGAACTGCACACATTTTTACATTTAATAAACATTTGTTTTAATTAGTTATTCATGCCAGGGTTGGAAGTGTCCTTAAAATAGGTACAGGTCAGTTTTATTCTATGATAAGTATTTTTTCTTTCTAGGGGATGGGACGCAAATTAGTTTATGATATACTCTCAATGTGAAATACATATTTTTTTTATCAATATAAGTTTTCAACTGGAATCATGTTTTTGGTACTGTCATAAGCCTATAAATAAACAACTGAAAGTAGAAGGCTGTGATATTAATGTTGTCCACTAGAGAGAGCCAGAGGATAATATATATATATTTTTTAACTTCATTAAATGGTATGAAAAAATCGATTCAACATGACATGATTCAAACAGGTTAAATGGTCCTGAATAAAACTCGCAGTCAGAAATGATTAATTTTGAGATTAATTTTGGTACTGCAGCCAAACAAAATCTTATTGAAAGCTATTTTTTTTAGATATCAAGCTCAAATTTGGAACACGATTTATTTAGATTTATGGCTTTGATTTTCTCAGTTTAAGACTAAACGTGATTTTGAAAATATAGATTTCATATAAAAATTTAAATAGTATTTTTGTGCATTTTTCATAACAATCAACAAAAAATTCTGTAACTTTTTTTAAGTTCACTTTTTTCACTTCAGCAATAATCTGCCAAGTGTCATCTTTAAAAAAAGAGATCAAACTTATATCTCTAAAGCATTCAAGATTTACCACAGTTTTATGTTGGAAATTGAAATATTGTAGTGTTATAAATATAATGCATTGTTTAACAATATAATGTTAAAATCCCCTAAAAATACAAAATATTGAATAAAAAAACATTATCAAACTAAAATATAGTCATTTATTTAATTGAAATTTGTAAAAAATCCAACACGTGAAGAGCACCTAATCCTAATTAACCTTTTTACAACAGAAATGACCCATCACTGAACTTAAGCTGGACTGTGACACTATTTGCTTCTGGAAACAAACTTTGTTGCATTATTTTCCTGTTATCTCTGTAAAGCTGTTTTTTTTTAAATATCTGTTTCCATCCCTTTGAACAAGTTGTGTGAATAGAAATCTGTAAACAATCATTAAATGTTTAATTAACTTAATGAAACCCAATAAAACATATTTTTCTCAAATTGTCGCACACAAGTAAATATGATGCTGTCCATTTGAAATGAAGACACAATTGTGTGTGGAGGATTGTGTTGTGTAGAGGAGTGTGTTGTGTGGAGGAGTGTGTTCACCTGCCAGGGACACTCCTCCGGGCCGCATGCGAGTCCCTCATACTCTGACTTTATGTTGGCGACCTGACGTCTGTCCCACTGGCTCGAGCTGCTCAACTTCCCACACGGGAACGACACTGAAGAGAGAAGTGAACGTTTACTTACAGGCGAGGGTGTATTGCTTGTCATTTCTGGTACATGGCTTTGTGGAGTCTCTTCACACATGTGAGACCGGATAATCATGTGTAAGCGTGAGCAGGAACTGAACACACCCTGATCACTAATACACACACCCCATTCTGTGTTCATGCCACGGTACAGGTGTTTGGGAATGCTTTTTTTCGTTTTGTTTTTGTGTGCGTGTGTGTATGGGGGGGGGGGGGGATTAAAATACTTCAATTCATTTTTTATATCATAACATATTAGGCCTATATTTTATTATATTTTAAGGCTAAATAAAGAATCTCACATGGGTATGGTTTAGGGCTCATTGCCATTAAAACATTTGAAACCCATTGGAAATTCATAAGCAATAAACAATCATTTAAATTTGATGGTTTAATGCTTCCTGTACACATAATTGACTGTACAAAAACACTTTATGGTTTTCCCAAACCATCTCAGTGTCAGCTTACTTTTCTTTCTTACTATATTCTTTTATTGTAAAGAATTGAACTGTCCTGCAGAAGCTTTTGCAAATTATATGTCATAGTATTTCTTGGTAAAGACTGTACAGTTAACAGCACTGGAAAAACATATCAGATAACCTAAAATGTGCTTCATTTAGTGACTTCTTAATTAACTGCTTTTTTTTTTTTTTTTTCGAAAATATGATTTAATACCAATAAGTTACATCAAGGGTCAAATAAAATATAAATGGCACATTCATGTTGAAACCATATTGTTTCTGCTGTGTTGCTCAGGTTTTTTTTTTTGCTCAGGTGGCGAAAAATGCCCATAAAAAAGAAAAAAGTTTTAGAAAAAAGAAAACAAAATAGAGGGAACATTGGTTGTGTGTGAGGTATGAGCTGTGATGGTGGCGTAGAGACTCACCCGCCGGCTCGCACTTCTCCTTCTCCTTGAGTCTCCAGCCGTAAGCACACGAGCACTCGTACGACTGATAGCCCGGCTTACAGAACTGACTGCAGCCTTTGCTCTTGTCTATCACACACACCGTCTTATCTGTGGATGTGACAACACTCAATGAGTTACATGACGATCGGGTCATAACAGTAGCAGCATGTAATAAAGACAATTCAGAAATATTACAGGCATACAGTTTAAAGGTAGAACTGTGGCGTGCAGCATTTTGTTAAAGAGGTCATGAAATGCATTTCCAGATCTCTGTGTTTTTCTGGATGTTATGTTGTTAGAACTGTTCGACACGCTGAAGCCTGGGTCGCCAGTGCACTTTTTATTTTACTCGCCAGAATTTAAACATGGAATGTAAAAATAAAATTCAATATAAACATAATATAAAAGATACATTTCAAACTTAAATAAAGACAAGTAAACCGCCTGCAATAAAATAAGCACAAATAATCAAACTACGAGCAATAGCACAAGATTAGGGACTGAAATTGAATAAAGTAATCAAATATAAAATAACTATAGGGCTGCCTAAGAGGTTTGGTCCACTAAGGTTTTATTATCACTTGAAACATGTAAGTAGCAGCAACTTTACAAGTCCTCTCGCTCTAATGCTAACTTAGATAAATATGCGCTGCTATTAGCACGCTACATTGTTTAAAATTAATACATTTTTATAGCCTGGCTTACGTCAGGCCGTTTCTCAAAATGCGTTCTTGTCTGTACTTGTGTTCTTGTGAAACATCATCAGTCGCTGCCCAAGTACTGTTCCAGTTCAAAGTTCACATCTAGCCAAGTCCAGTTCAAATCCCCGGTTGTGTTCTTGATCCGCCCCGTTTACCGAGGATGCATCGAGAGGTGATTTGTGCGGACTTGAGACAGCCAGGTATCCCAGAATGCATCTCGCACCAACCAGCAAGCGTCAATAGCAGATGAGAAAACTCGCGAAATATTGAAATACTACTGTTATTGTGTCATGAAAAGCAATTTTAGTGTTTCAGGCGACAATGTTGGTTGTTTAAATCTCAAATCTGTGGTTTATTTATAAAGATAGCGCCTATTTGAAAAATTTATGTGACGTTTTAGAGTTGTGACATTCAGGCTTCTGACTTTGCCGCTGGCTCTGATGTCTCTAGTCTAGTGGATAAACTTGACGTATAATTTGTTGTGTATAAGTCTATCTTTGGTCTCATTAAACTATATCCATGGCAAAAAATCGTTTTCGGTTGAGGGCAAAGTGAAGTTTCATAACTTTATATATTTAGGCTATTGAACTTTAACTTTGTAGCCTATTAGAGAGCTTACTTATGTTTTAATTGTTTGCCTTATTTCTCATTAAAGCTTCTATACCTTTTAGGCTACATCTTATTGGTCTGACATTTAATAAAAAGAGACAGGGTTGGGTATTTTTATATACTTAAATTTTTATATATATATATATATATATATAAAAAACACATTTATTTTAAAATTCTCTGCAATATATGTACAACAAAATAAAATGATACAACCCTGCCTCTGTTTGTTAAATGTCAATAAAAATCAATAATGTTTCATATTTTTAAAATAAAAACAAAAAGATCATGTTCATTTTGTTATAATTATATGCAGTGAAGATAATCAATGTAGGCTACGCGTTGCCTGAACCACATGACCAGGCTTAATATGTTTAAGATTTTTTTAAATGAAAAGAGGCAGAGTGGTGTTTTATAACATAATTCGTTTTATTGGTGACAAAAAGAGGCAGAGTTGTAGCATATTTCGTTTTATTGTTGCCTAAAATATATATAAAGACTGAGATAACCGGAGTAGCCAGAGCGTGCTGAGTGACGCAATCAAGTACGCTCTGTTCTAGAGCCAGACCGATATATATCGGCAGACCGATATTATCGGCCGATGTTAGGCATTTTCCAAACTATCGGTATCGGCAGTTATAATGGCCAATAAATTAATATTTCAAAAATAAAATAAAAACGGACGAAACACGCTTAAATCATGTCATGAGTGTTGGAGTTGTATAGTTTGTCCACCAGAGGGCACTCTACACCGTCCCTGTTGGCAACACATGTTGAGTTGGGCACAATACATACATTGCTTGAATAACAATTAAAAGAACATCCCCATCAGTTCTCTTAACTCAAATAAGCATGACAAAATTTGTGACTATCATGTCCAGTTTAAAAAAATAAAATAAATAAATATATAAAATATCGGCCGATATTTCGGAAAATCGGATTTTAAAACCCAAAAATATTTGTATCGGCCTTCAAAATCCTTTATCGGTCGGGCTCTACTCTGTTCCATTTGCAGAAGAACCGGACTTGCATCCTCTCGTTCTCTGGAGTTCGTTCTCCAGAGTCGAACTTGGCATGTCCGAACTACCAAGGACACAAGTCCGAAGTTTGCGTACTTGGTATTGAGAAACGGCCGTGGGAACCACATGTTCATCTTCTCGTATTTGAGGCGTGGTTTACGAATACCCAGAACCGTATTATTGGGTGCTACGAATGTCTATCAAATGCGCCTGTACGTAGCTCATAGCCAATCGGGTCAATGATACCAGATGACGTATGTAGAGGGAAAGAAATTAGACAAGGAAGGAGACGATGGGTCAGAGATATATTTGCGTTCTAAACAACTTCGCGTCTGCTTACATGTTTGATCCTTAGGTTTAAACAAACTGCTTCGGTGTGTCGCATAGACGTGGTCATCGTCTTGCTGCTCCTCCCCATTCTGTGATTGGTTCCCTAGAAACGTGAATAAAATCGCACTGCGCAAAGGCATTATGGCGAAATCCAGGCTAACATTTTTATCTAACTGGGATTTTTTTATATGTACATTTCTGCAATCCATAACTTAGACACAGTTCCCTGTGATAACAGATCACTCTAATGTACAAACCCAATTCCATAAAAGTTTGGACACTGTACAAATTGTGAATAAAAACAGAATGCAATGATGTGGAAGTTTCAAATTTCAATATTATATTTAGAATACAACATAGATGACATATCAAATGTTGAAAGTGAGACATTTTGAATTGCCATGCCAAATATTGGCTCCTTTTGGATTTCATGAGAGCTACAAATTCCAAAAAAGTTGGGACAGGTAGCAATAAGAGGCCAGAAAAGTTAAATGTACATATAAGGAACAGCTGGAGGACCAATTTGCAACTTATTAGGTCAATTGGCAACATGATTGGGTATAAAAAGAGCCTCTCAGAGTGGCAGTGTCTCTCAGAAGTCAAGATGGGCAGAGGATCACCAATTCCCCCAATGCTGAGGCAAAAAATAGTGGAGCAATATCAGAAAGGAGTTTCTCAGAGAAAAATTGCAAAGAGTTTGAAGTCATCATCATCTACAGTGCATAATATCATCCAAAGATTCAGAGAATCTGGAACAATCTCTGTGCATAAGGGTCAAAGCCGGAAAACCATACTGAATGCCCGTGATCTTCGGACCCTTAGACGGCACTAGGGTTGCCGCGGTGAGGAAAATTTCCCACCGGTTAATCGACGTGTGACAACACCGGTAATCCCGGTGTCACCGTGGAGGGCAGGGCGGGGGGTTAAATAGCTTTTAAATGCGTGCGCGTTATACTTTCACTTTCGAAATAAGCGTCAATTGCTTGAATGGACAAAAAAAAAAAAACTCGCTGATAATAAAACTTTTATTTATAGACTTTTATTAGCATAACGAACGAATAAAAATAACCCCATGCATAGGCTGAAAAAAGTGAAAATCGGCAAAATGTGGGCCCAAACAAATAAGAACCATAAAACGTTTATTAACGAATAAGAAAATAAAATAGGCCTAAATAAATTACACAAAGTTTAAATGAGATAAAACCAATTAAAAAGAGACGAATATAAAATAAAAACTTCAAAACGGACCTTAGCCTACATAAATGACATACTTTCACTTTCGAAATAAGCGTCAATTGCAATTCAGCGTCAATTGCTGGAATGGACAAAAAAAACAAAAAAAAAAAACAACTCGCTGACAATAAACTTTTATTTAGACAGCACTTTTATTAGAATAATAAACGAATAAAATATAGACAGAACTTTTATTAGCATAACGAACGAATAAAAATAACCCCATGCATAGGCTGAAAAAAGTGAAAATCGGCAAACTGTGGGCCCAAAAAAAAATAAAACGTTTATTAACGAATAAGAAAACAAAATAGGCCTATAAAACAAAGTTTAAATAAGATAAAACCAAATAAAAAGAGACGAATATAAAATAAAAACTTTAAAAAGGACCTTAGCCTACATTAATGACAGCACTCTAAAAAAAAGTAAAACACTATAAATTGGCATTTATTAACATTAATATATATTGGCCAAAATATTGCCAAACAGGCGCTTTCTTTTTGCGTTTTGACACCAAATCTTCCGCCATTATCTTTCTTTTCTGTAATTTGACTCGTTCTCGTCTCCACACGTGCTGACGTGACGGCACGCGTTGCGCAGTTCATTTTTAATTATAATGCTCTCTTCAGAACTAAATAATTGAAAATTATTATTTTTAATTAATTCAAATAAATATTTTAGCAAAAACGAATACTTTAAAAAAAAAAGTCAAGACATCGCGGTGTCACGGTGGGAAAGTGATGTCACCGATGATGGGGCTTAAAACCGGTAACACCGTCAACACCGTCTATCGCGGCAAGCCTAGACGGCACTGCATCACACACAGGAATGCTACTGTAATGGAAATCACAACATGGGCTCAAGAATACTTCCAGAAAACATTGTCAGTGAACGCAATCCACCGTGCCATTCACCGTTGCCGGCTAAAGCTCTATAGGTCAAAAAAGAAGCCATATCTAAACGGGAACCAGAAGCGCAGGCGTTTTCTCTGGGCCAAGGCTCATTTAAAGTGGACTCTAGCAAAGTGGAAAACTGTTCTGTGGTCAGACGAATCAAAATCTGAAGTTCTTTTTGGAAAACTGGGACGCCATGTCATCCAGACTAAAGAGGACAAGGACAACCCAAGTTGTTATCAGCGCTCAGTTCAGAAGCCTGCATCTCTGATGGTATGGGGTTGCATGAGTGCGTGTGGCATGGGCAGCTTACACATCTGGAAAGGCACCATCAATGCTGAAAGGTATATCCAAGTTCTAGAACAACATATGCTCCCATCCAGACATCGTCTCTTTCAGGGAAGACCTTGTATTTTCCAACAAGACAATGCCAAACCACATACTGCATCAATTACAACATCATGGCTGCGTAGAAGAAGGATCCGGGTACTGAAATGGCCAGCCTGCAGTCCAGATCTTTCACCCATAGAAAACATTTGGCGCATCATAAAGAGGAAGATGCAACAAAGAAGACCTAAGACAGTTGAGCAGCTAGAAGCCTTTATTAGACAAGAATGGGACAACATTCCTATTCCTAAACTTGAGCAACTTGTCTCCTCAGTCCCCAGACGTTTGCAGACTGTTATTAAAAGAAGAGGGGATGCCACACAGTGGTAAAAATGGCCTTGTCCCAACTTTTTTGAGATGTGTTGATGCCATGAAATTTAAAATCAACTTATTTTTCCCTTAAAATTATGCATTTTCTCAGTTTAAACATTTGATATGTCATCTATGTTGTATTCTAAATATAATATTGAAATTTGAAACTTCCACATCATTGCATTCTGTTTTTATTCACAATTTGTACAGTGTCCCAACTTTTATGGAATTGGGATTGTAGAAACATGCATTTTCTGTTAAGCTGCTTTGAGATGATGTGTATTGAGAAAAGCACTATACAAATAAACGTCAATTGAATTGTTTTGTGAGGAGAGCTCTCACTGACATACGGCGCCAACTCCTTGCATTTAAATTAAAATACTCTGTCATACAGATAAGAGTACTGCAAACTGTAAAGGGTGTCCTTTTATTTCTGTAAACTCACTATAACAAAACATTGTGCTTTTGTAAAATAATGAAAAATGACGCGTTGGGTGCGCAAGACCGGGAAGACCCCATTTCGCTGGGCTGTGTGCACGGCCATAGTTTGATTTTCCACTTCATGACCCCTTTAATGTGTACTTTTAAAAAGAGCTCAACGTGCTCAAAAGCATCTTTTGAAATGCAATGCAGTGAACAAATATTTAGGTTAATGCAGAGATGCATTGTTTTTATTTTTTGTGTATAAGATTTTTGTGGAAAGCAGTCATAAACATGAATGAAGTGCTTCTAAAACATCATGGGTTGAGTTACATACCGGTCTCACAGTGGATTCCTGCAAAGCCTGATTTGCAGATGCAGTCATAACCTCCCACACTATCTGAACACATGGCTCCGTTTTTGCACGGATGGTCCGCACACTGGTCACCATCTAGAGTGCAAGACATCATGAGGGATAACACACATGATACACAGAAAACACTTAAGCATATCTTAAGCATTCTTAAATGGTTCTTTGTAAGACTGATTATGACTGGTCAATCGCAGCATTTTCATGTTCAATACTGCCAACATCCTTCGGTAACCTTTATTTTACAGTGTCCTTGTTACACGTTACTTGAACTTACTATAGTAATAAACAAGTACATGCAAACCCTAATCCTATGTGCCAATAAGTGGAACAACTAATCCCACTTGTCTATATTCGCTTCATTGGGCTTGTCTTCAGTCCAGCTCTAATCAAACACAGCTTAACCAGCTCTTCAGGATCGCTGGGAAAGCACAGGTGAGCTGAAGGAGCTTGGAAATACACTTTCCAGGACAGGGTTGAAGTCCTGCCATAATGGCTATCGATGTGTTTGCATTTTGGAAAGACAACTGACACCAGACTTCCTCACATGACCATCATTCATCTTTACACAAGTTTGTTTCTGCAGCATTCACAACTTACCGATGTAGACCGACCAGAAGATATCCTGTAAAGAAACAAACACAATCCATTTAGGTCGATTACAAGTGGAACTGTAAATATTAGTAATAATACTAAACGTAGAATAGGGTTGTGCGATTTTCACATAAAAACTATATCCCAATAATTTTCCTGGGATTTTGCCTATAACGATAATTGGTCCCTTGGTTTGGGCCTGTCATGAACGGCTGATTCCTGAAGCTTTTCGTATTCCTCTTATTCTGTGCGCTGCTCGGAAATGTACATATTTATTGGGTCACTGAATCACTGATCTGTTTAAGGCACGGACTCGTTCAGTAATAAAGCACCGCTTGGACAGGCAAAACAGCTCTGCTGTGGTTAACAACCGTTTTTGTTTGACAAAAAAATTAAAAGCAGAAAATATTGACAATATTGGGCCTAAAACGTAACTCAAAACGACCAGTTATTGTTTATTGTATATCACAGTCGTGCTAATACGTGTATAATACATTATACAGTCAAACTAAAAATTATTCAGACACCAGAAATAATTTTTGATATTGTTTTACAAATCCCCAGTGTTAAATCAACACTGCTCAGAACGGTCCCACTCTACAGAGTGTTAAAATAACACTGAAGCAGTGTTAAAGTTAATTAGATAATTAAGTGATTAATTAAAGTCCCCCTCCGATCATATTTTGATCTATTTTATAAACATTCCCAGTGGTCTTTAAAATATGATTATGCCATTTTTAGCCAAAATCACAAAACCTGTGCCGTTTTATGGGACTTCACTTCAGCAGAGCGGCAGTAGCTCATTAGCAATTCGCCTCTGGGTTGTGGGCGGAGCCGTTGGCACGGAGACGACCCTCCCCCTCCCCATTGCTGAGAGCTCTCCTCTGTCTCTCCCGCTAGCTTACTTACAAATTATAAGCAACTCAAATGTTTTATTAATTTATTAGTTGTTGAGTCTTAAGTTCAGGCTATTGCTGTCTGATTCTGTTAGTTCACCTCACCCCCTGATCCAAGACATTCATTCCTTTGCAACTTCATATTTATCAGGTTTGTTCTCCTCCTCTCGTGTCTCGATACGTTAGCTGTCGACTCGTCAGTGTCTGACTCTGATCTGTCTGCTGGGCCGTGCCGTGTGTGATACAGAAAGACCGGAAAGAGTAATGATTAGTTCATATTTCGAGTCTCGAGTTCGGGTTCGGCCGCGTCCGAGTCTTTCGTTCTTCCTGTCAGTCCCATTTTAGATGGCATTTTAGCGTCTGCTACTGATTCACAGCCATTTGAATGTAGAAATACTCAGAAATGCAACTTTGAGCTTATTTTTCTCAAGAAACGCCCTCTAACATTAGAAAAATAACACAAGAACATGTTAACACCTTGAAAAAATCTTTTTTCATCGGAGGAGGTCTTTAAGTGTTGATTGAGCATTAGTGATGAACAGCTGCTGTTAACAAGCAAAATCACTGAAGGAAAGAAAAACACAAGAACTACAACTGATAAGTTGATAAGTCACAGCCTTAGATTAAATCAATTGAAGAGAAAAGAAGACATTAAATCTGTAAAGATCTCAGCAGAGGATGAATAAACAACTCCACAAACAGAATTACCAGCTTCATTTATCTCTAACCAGACTGATTTTATTTCTGTTATATGTCTTTGGACAAAGGTTTAGATGTCGATGGTTCGAAATGTTTGGTCACCATTATGGTGATCAGTATTTCCTTTAGTTGGGCAGTGTGACTCTTGTCATTTAAAGTGCAATTTTGGTCTTTGTTACAATGTTTACCGAAGCACATAATGTGTTACAAAGGAAGCCAAAAATAAGAGACGTTAAGGTGTTATAGTTTTCATTATTATAAAGCTGAATGATTCACTAATCTTATCCCTGACAAAAGTTGTTATTTGTTATTAATAACTATCACTTTTTTGACACAAAGCAAACATCCTGAATTAAAATATTTTATATACATTGCAGAATATTTTGGAAAATCATTAGTATATATTTTATTTAAACAAAAGAAAATCCGTGTATGAATCTCAACAATGGTGACATGCTTCATGCTGCAATACATGCTGGGAGCCATGAGTTTTATACTCTATAGTACCTCCCAGAATGCTTAGCGGCATAAAGCATGTCACCATTGTTGAGTTTCATATGGGGATTCTTACTGTCTGTGGGTTTGTCCAAAGATGACTTTACTAATAATTAAAAGGATACTCCACTTTTCTTGGAAATAGGCTCATTTTACAACTCCCCCAGAGTTAAACTGTTGAGTTTTAACTTTTTTTGAATCCATTCAGCCGATCTCCGGTTCTGGCAGTAGCACTTTTAGCATAGCTTAGCATACATCATTGAAGTGCACTAGACCATTAGCATTTCTCAGAAAAAAAATTACCATTTTACGATATCGATATGAGTGCAGCAGGCGTAATGTTATGACGCAGCGCCTGAAAATAGTCCCCAGCTTCTAACGTGACCGGGACTAAGTTTGTGTATTCATTACGCCTGCTGCACTCATGGTACGGCAGTGAAGTTTCCTGATTATTACGCAGGAATGAGAATAGGGTTGGGTATCGAGAATCGAGTATCGATTGGAACCGAGACTAACTTTTCGTTTTTTTCCCGGAATCGTTCAAAAGTTAAAATTTAGATTCCTAGTTTCACAGTCCGCCGAACGGAAGAAGAAACCGCTGAACAACACCAACGAAGAAGCGTCTACCGGAAGTGTTGGCATAACCACGCGAGTCGAACATGAGTACCTTACGTCGGCGATCCAAAGTGTGGCTTCACTTTTCTAAAAATAACGAAATCTCGGCAAAATGCAAAATTTGTGACAAAAGGAGTATTTTTACAGAAGGAGTATTTCCTTCAGAAAGGCCGTTGGTTAGCAAGGTTAGCTAAACTTTTTTGACCCTGCCTCTTAAAAGAATCGGAATCGAGAATCGTTAGGAACCGGAATCAAAACAAGGAATCACAATCTCAAATCGTTCAAATTCAAACGATACCCAACCCTAAATGAGAGTATAGTTCCTTCCTAGTCATATCAGCCTAGAAAATCGCAATTTTATATTTTCCGTCTGTCTTACCGCACGATGTAACTACAGAAGAGTTCAGTTTTAAATAGGAAAAATATCGAAACATTTTGGTAATTTTTTTTGGAGAAATGCTAATGGTCTAGTGCACTTCAATGATGTATGCTAAGCTATGCTAAAAGTGCTAATGCCAGAACCGGAGATCGACTGAATGGATTCAAAAAAGATAAAACTCAACAGTTTAACTCTGGGGGAGTATCCCTTTAAAAAATTAAAATTCAGCTTGAAGACTGATCTGTAGAAAGAAATTTATTTATTGAAAATAATCTATTAAGACCAAATAACCATTATCAATAAATGATAAAATTTGTGAATTTTTGTACTTTATGATGTTGAAAACTATAGGCCTATCACCTGACTATCTTTGTTTTGGGCTTTCTTTGCAACCTTTGTGTGTTTTGGTAAACACTGTTACAAGGACCATGAAATCACATAAGATAATAAATCAAAGTGCCCAACTAACGACAACACTGTTCACCATAAATGGTGATTTTAAAATGGTGACTAAAACATCAACATCTAAACCTCTGTTAATTCTCAATAAGAACTTCTGACAGAAATAAAGTCAGTCTGGTTAGTGAAAAGTGAAGCTGGTAATGCTGTTTGTGGAGTTGTTTAATCCTACTCTGTTGAGATCTTCACAGATGTAATGTCTTATTTGTATCTTCAGTTGATTTAATCTAAAATCAACCAAGGGAGCGCAAGTTCATTCCCTATTTTGCCGGCGTGCGTCTGTGGAGGGAAAAGTCTGCTTTGCACGGGTGCAAAATACGAATGATACACGCGTCGGTGTACAAGTCATTTGCGCTGGGTGCAAGATAGTGCCCTAATTGTGTAGTTCAATTTAATGTGTGAGAGTCTAACAGAAGGACAGACAAAACCAGTTAAATATCAACTGATTTCATAACTCTGAGTTCTGCTCTTATTACCATTTTCTAAACTATAGCAAATGAACTGTGATAATGTGAGAAATGTTTGACAATTTAATATTTGACGGGTGGGGAAGGCTAGATCTCTCCGTGAATCTCTGCTATCTCTCAAGGTGGGTTTTTGTGTGTTTCTTCAAAAGCGAGTGACGTCAGCTCACACATTGTTAAACAATAGCTATCAGTGTAATGGTAGATGATGTCGCACAGCCCTACTGTGGACGAGTGATGGATCGAGAGACTCACCGTGCGATAGTTGTCCTGGAAGACTTCTCTGGCCTCCTCGTAATCGCAGACCTCCTCTAGACACTCCCTCTCGAGGCTGGCGGGGAGTTTGGTCTCTTCGTCACCGGCGTTGCTTCTCTTCTGCCGGGAAATCACATTCAGCGCATCCCACTTCTCCAAGAACAGAGGGGCTGGAATACATACAGGACAGCTGAGAAAACTACATTCTGCAATCTGCAAACACATAATGATTTCTTACAGTGTGAATGGTGGATGCTGAGAAATAGATAGATAAATTTATATTTATAGTGGTCAACTGATATATAGATGTCATCAGGGCCAATATATGTGGCCGATGTGTCTGATGCAGGACATATCTGGAAGAAATGACTTTAAATTTTCTTTACTAACTGTTTACTGTCTTCAATTATCCACTTTCATCACATAAATGTAGACTTGAAGTCGTTTAGCCCCTGGTGTTTAGTAGCATATTAGAAAACGGTATGTATTAAAGGGTTAGTTCACCCAAAAATGAAAATTAAGTCATTAATTACTCACCCCCATGCTGTACCAACCCCGTAAGACCTTCGTTCGTCTTCGGAACACAAATGAAGATATTTTTGATTAAATTTGAGAGCTGTATAACTACCACATTGGCTCCTAAAGGACTGCCTCTTGACGGCCCAGAAAGTGAATGAAGAAAATGTTTAAATATCCCAAGTGACTACCGTGGCTCAACTATATGTTTATCAAGCGACGCGAATACTTTTTGTGCGAAAAAACAAACAAAAATAACGAGTTTATTCGACTATTTCTTTTCTTCCTTGTAGGCCAGAACAAGACTTCCTTAGATTTCCACGACGCATGCGCGAGATTTGCGATCTGCTCACACCAGCTTACACTACTTCAGATCGCAATTCTCGCGCATGCGTCGTGGAAATCTAAGGAAGTCTCGTTCTGGCCTACAAGGAAGAAAAGAAATAGTGGCTAGCGGTAGTCACTTGGGATATTTAAACATTTTCTTCATTGACTTTCTGGGCCATCAAGAGGCAGTCCTTTAGGAGCCAATGTGGTAGTTATACAGCTCTCAAATTTAATCAAAAATATCTTCATTTGTGTTCCGAAGACGAACGAAGGTCTTTACGGGGTTGGTACAGCATGGGGGTGAGTAATTATGACTTAATTTTCATTTTTGGGTGAACTAACCCTTTAATAACAGCATATTCAGTATATTTGACAATCTAAGAGCTACAGAAATAAAACTGAATTGACTTGTATGCATATTCATTGATTTCTAAGTGATCAAATTAGGTATATTTACACACTTCTACCCCTTACAGAGAATGGCTTAATGCCTAGAGAACAGTTAGATTACATTTTAGAAAAGCAATAACACAACGCACTATTTTAAAATTGTTCATCTAAAAATTTATTTTGTTTAAAAACCTTTGGTAAGTCTTAATTTCAAATACCTTCCCTCAGTTAGTGTATATTGTTCTGCATTGCATTGCATAAATGATATTTACATTGCAATCGTCTTGTAGGGCTGGTGTAGAGATGTAGTGTTTGGAGTGTGATAAAACAAAACAAGGAAAAGGATCTTAATGTTGTTGTGCTCTTGAGCAATTTTCAAATGCATGTATAGTGTCTATATAAACCACTATTTTATAATGACATTTTAATTATACATGTAGCCTATATTCATTTGTTTTAATAGAATTACGATTACTGTAGGCTAATATGTACCAGGGCATTAAGTTACTTTTGAAAGGACATTAATCAGCATCAGTATCAGTGTATTTCATAAGACTTTAACTTTGCCAGCTATATAAAAAAAAAAGTTTTAGCACTGCTTTTTAGTGAGAGTCGATATGCATGGGACATTGGCGATGACAGTGACCATACCACACCCACTCCCTCCCTTCTTCTCACCTTTTACTCTTCTTCTTTCTTTTACTGTCTATGCTTCTCACAGCTATCGACGCACATTTAAGTTGCATTTTTCATAAAGATTGTGAGCTAGACTTGAGCTGAAAGAGGGGGGTTTCATGACCCTTTAATGAAAACCAAATGACGCAGTAGTGATTTAATATCCCCCTCAAATCTCCATCCCAAACACTGCCATATTAGCAGACAGTCTTACTTTTGGCTGGAGTTGTAGTACTAAATATAAAAGGCACTCCTTTTGTTCAAGTGTATCAATACAACATATCAAACAACAACAAAAACAATGTGCAGCAACAGTACAGTGGGATAAACACGGCGTTGGCAACCCGAGCAGCGAGATGATCACGTGTTAATGTTACTTTTCTCATCGCTCTTCATGATGAGCCAATCGCCTTTTACGACGAGGCGTTTGATTAAAGCAGATCCTATATATTTAAGGATACAGTTTTTGTTAAACGATTTATACGTTGAGTGACCAAAATGTCTCAGAAAAAGACAAAAGGAACGGTGCCCATGGAGACACGAATACCACTGTTTTAAGTGTTTAACAGACTCCAGAAGCTTTAAATGTAGTAAAATATTCTTTTACCTGTTCTTTTATGCAACCCTGCCGTCACGAATCCAAATAAAACTGCGAATGAAAGAAATCTTCCGAGATGAGCCATGATACTGGTGGACGCCTGTGGGAAAGATGGATAAACCATGTGATGAACGAATGAACAGCGCTAAATTCAGCAGTGGCCGTTTGTTTGTTTACTAGCTATGGTTTACTATCGGACGGACAGATCCGTTATTCCACACACTGTAACGCTACTAAACGCTCAGTTTACAGTCGGGAAGAACATTACTTTCATAAACAGTGATAGCTTTAACCTCAAAAGGCGATGTCGGTTCTCTTTCATTTAGCTTTTATTTATAATTAATATTGCATAATTCCTCACCCGCTCAGCTGGTGACGCAGATATATGACCTCTGACCTTTGCTGCTAGCAATCTGTTGTCCTGTCCACTGAGTTTATACCATAGACAGTAAAACAAGGTTTACAATCTGGATCAGACCGACATCAGCACCAGCACATCTACTGTTGTTTGTCACAGACCACTCCTGCGGTTGTGTGTATAACCACACGAGGACACTCTTCAGTATCCCTGGTGTTTTGTAATATCCTTATTTGTTAAAATTGAATGTGAGCTATGTTTTTTTCACTTTTGTTTATTTTTATTTTGTCTTGATTGTTTAAATCCTGTTATTATTTGTATGTTACATTTTCTGCAATAAAACAATATGTGGGTGCAAATGCACTGCGTGATTTTTTTCCCAAACAGTTGAGCGCAAACCACGCCCCTTAACTGAAAACCACACCCCTCGATTTCATTGGTCAACTCTCTCACGCAGTCACCTGAGCAGAGCCATGTATGGCCTTTTACGGTCTATGTGGATGGCTCTGCACCTGAGGTAAAGTTTAGATATCAGCTAATGAATCCGATGAAAAAAGGATAGATATGCTTGACCATTTCATTATAATTTTATTGATAAAAGTATAGGTCTCAGTTATGATTATAATTTTAACTTATCTTATGAATTTCTTTCTTCCTCAGTGGAGGACGCTTGTTCTGGCTGTGATGAAAACCAAGCCTCTGATAATGTTAATTTTTAACATTCACTAATTAAAAATCAACTTTAAAGTAAAATGAACAAACAATGAACAGATGGATTTGTATAAACTCATATTAACATACAGTACAAAATATATTGTATTGCTCATGGTTAGTTCATGTTAGTTATTAATACAATAACCAATATTAACAAACGAAACCTTATTATAAAGTGTTGCCGAAAAACTATTTATGACATTCTTTTTGAAAACATTGTCAATTTTTCAGATTATTACAGTTAAGCGCAATATATATATATTTTTTAAATGTAAACTAATATTTCCTATTGACACATTAATGCAAATTATAAAAATATATAAATAAAAATCGAATATGCCTAAGACTTTTGCATAGTTCTGTATATTTAAACATTCATATTCTATCTATATCCACAGGCTCATTATAGGTGGTGCCAACACAATGTTTGTGCCCGATCAAACTCAGCTAATCAAAGATGGCTCTCAAAAAATACATGCTGTGAGGCTACAATGGTTTGCACTCTGGTGAAGACTGTAGACATATGGGGAGGATCTAGATAGTAGATGGGTTAGCAAAGTGAAATGAAATATATATATATACAGTATATATATATATATATATATATATATATATATATATATATATATATATATATTATTTTATTTATTTATTTTTTTTGTTTTGTTGCTTTTGTCAGTTACTTTGCAAGATTTTTATTTTATGTTTCAGGAGCAGTGATCCCCATATACCCATCTGCCCAGCTTCTGTGCGCTTGTACAATGTACATAATCATAACATCTTTGTTGCAGAGGCACTGAGGCACAGAGATGTGGGGGTCAAGGCCATTGAAACCCTAAATCAGTTGTTTGAGATTGGGCACAGCCCTACATCAGCTCTGGCAGCTCTGAAAAGTGACCTGTTGGCTGAGCATGGCAACACATATGTATATGCCTCAGCTAACCGTGCTCTTTGCCCAGACCTTGAGTTTTGCGACAGGTATGTGAAAATGTACGTGGTCTTCAAATCAGTAGCTTTGACAGACTTGTGTAGTAAAACAATCAATTTAATTTGCAGACTGTATCAGACGGTGAAAAAGCAGGAGTTTGGAGAGCAAAGTGGGGAGGGAATGCTAGCAGCTTTGGAAAGACAGGTAGAATCATACAATGCGGCGTGTTCTAAGTCCATACATTTGTTCCATACATTAACATGTAGTTTTCTCATTGTTAAGCTCTTTTTTGGTTTGTGTTTTTAAAATCGTATTTATTTTGGACACTCGTTAACACTAGACTAACACTAAATCTTTTTATTTACATCGTTTTATGACTTTTATTTATCTTATGGACCATTTTTAATGTTTATATATATACAGTCGTGCCCAGAATTAATCATAACCCTGGTAAATATGATAAAAAAAATGGCTGTAAAAAATAAATCCGCATTGTTTATCCTTTTGATCTTTCATTCACAAAATTGGAAAAATCCTAACCTTTCATTGAAGTAAAAGAATTGAAAGTGGGGGGGGAAATCACATTATAAAATAAATGTTTTTCTCCAAAACACGCTAGCCACAATTATTAAATACCTTTTTGCAATCTCCTTTTGCCAAGATAACTGCTCTGAGTGAGTTTGGAGAACACCTGACAAGAGATCAGAGACCATTCCTCTGCACAGACTCTCTCCAGATCCTGCAGATTCACAGATCCATGTTGGTGCTTCTTCTCTTCAGTTCACTCCACTCATTTTCTATATGGTTCAGGTCAGGGTCTGGGACGGTCATGGCAGACGCTTCATTTTGTTCTCCCTTACACATTTTTGTGTTGATTTTGATGTTTGTTTTGGATCGTTGTCCTGATGGAAGATTCAACCACGGCCCATTATAAGATTTCTAGCAGAAGGCGTCAGGTTTTGATTTTTTATCTGTTGATATTTCATAGAATCCACAATGCCATGTATCTGAACAAGAAGTCCAGGACCTCCTGCAGAAAAATAGGCCCCCAACATTAAAGATCCAATGGTATATTAAATTGTACACATGGGGTACTTTTATCCTTGTGTCCACCAAACCCAGTGTGCTTACTGCCAAAAAGCTCTTTTTTTAGTCTCATCTGACCACAGAACCCTGTTCCCTTTGAAGATCCAGTCGTGTCTGACACCTGAATAAGCTGGAGTTTGTTTTTGGATGAGCGAGGAGCATTTTTCTTGAAACCCTCTCAAAGAACATGTGGGGATGTAGGGGTTGTTTGATAATTTTTTTTTTTTTTTTAGTTTTCTGACCCCCAAAACTCAACTAATCTCTGCAATTCTCCATCTGTGATCCTTGAAGAGTCTTTCAACACTCAAACTTTCATCCTCACTGTCCATTAAGAAAATATAGACACACGTCCTCTTCCTGGCAGAATCATAACATCTTTAGTTGATTGGAACATTAATTATTGCCCTGATGGTCAAAATGGGGATTTTCAATTCTTTAGCTATTTTCTTACATCCACTTTCTATTTTGTGAAGCTCTTTTGATGCACATCAGAACCATGTTCTTTGGTTTTATTCATTGTGATGGATGATTCAGGAAATTTGGCCTTTGTGCTTCCTCATATTTAAACTCCTGTGAAACAAGAAGTCATGACTGGACAATTTCATGTTCCTAGTCACCCTAGTGTGCTAGAAAAGGTAAATATTAATGGGAATATACTTCATAGACATTTTATTCATAAAAAATTCTAGGGTTATGAATAATTGTGGCCAACGTGTTTTGGAGAAAAACATTTATTTTATAATGTGATTTCTCCCCCAATTTCAATTCTTTTACTCCACAGGAAGGTTAGATTTTTGCCAATTTTTTGAATGAAAGATGAAAAGGATAAATGATGCAAATTTATTTTTTACAGCCATTTTTTTATCATATTTACCAGGGGTATGATTAATTCTGGGGACAACTGTATATATATATATATATATATATATACTGTATATAGTGTAATCTTTAATTTTGTATAAACACTTTTGCATCCGTTTTGTATTTTGTATTATCGATGTGAGGCCGCTTTGATAGAGTTGACCAATGAAATCAAGCCATAAACGCAAATCATCGCTGCGGGGTGTGGTTTTCGGTTAAGGGGCGTGGTTTGCGCTCAACGGGTTTGGGAAAAAAATCACGCAAAACTAATGGTTCAAAGTAGAAATCAACATATGGTCCTTTGCACCGACATCGAGCCTTTGTTCCCTTGGTCAAGCGCCAAGGGAAATAGCGCATGTACTTTTATGCAACTATTGTATATAAAGATAGAAAAAGAATAGGCTATAATCTCACAGCAGTAAAACGCTTTAAATGTATTTTACAATATCAATTATGCACAAGCATGGAAATAGGAAATAGCCTATACAATAACAATAATAACAATACTACTAATAATAAACTATTGTAGAGTGGCAGTGTTATAAAAAATCGTTCTATTAACTTCTAGCAAGCTCATTTAAACCGAGTTGTAAATGCAGAAAGAAGGAGGCCAAACAAATCTGAAACTACTAAATATAAATACAAACCGCCAGTAGATGGCGGCAAGTCACTGTTCTATTGACATTACTGGTTATAATGTTCAACCTATTCTTTCAAAAACTCAAATATATATTTAATACCCACACAACTAGGCCGACTCATTTTAGACAATTGCAATTGTTCTGCTGTGGTGCTGTTGGGAACTATATTTTCATTGTATGAAATGCCAGTCATTAACATATAGTTTAGTTACAGGCCAAAAGACTGCTCATTACAGAAACATTAAAACAATTATTTACAAATGTGTGTTTTATTTGTTTTGTTTTTTTCTCAACTGTTTGTCTCAATTGGCAGTTAATTTTCATATATTTTCCAAATATTATTGTAACATTATGTGAATTTAAAGTGACTTTAAAGTGAATTTAAAGAGTTTCATTTTGTTTGTGAACAATGACACAAGGACTTTTCATTCTGATGGCACTAAATGTTCATTGACATAAATACCACTTTTAGGAGATGAACAAGTTACAGGCTTTTGCAGGTAATCCATTGTGTGGGACTGCTAGTATGCGTTATTTTGAGAAATGCATTTACTGCAAATCTTAAGGATGATTCAAGAAATGTACCAACATGTCTGAGAAAAACTGTATAGACCATTTCACAAGATGTAAACAACACTGGTCCAGAAGCACTTCCTGTTTCAGTTTGTAACTGTTTTCTTTATTTCACATGTAAAGAAAACATCTTAAAGATGTTTGTTTAACTTTTTGATTCAGTTTTAAATGTTCTGTTGGTTGTATTTTATCCCAGCTTTTATGTAGTGTTAAAAAACTGAAACAGGAAGTGCTTCCGGACCAGTGTTGTTTACATCTTGAGAAATAGTCTATAAAGGATATTAAAGGCAAACAATATGTGCAAAGGGATTTAGTAAATGGGTGAACACCAAGATTTTATCAAGTACAATGTTTATGAATCAACATCCCTTTTGATCATGGAGCAATATTAGATTTGAAGAATAAGTTTACAGGTAATACAT